TTCCCAGAAGTTGTGGTTGGGTGTAGCTGCTACATCCGTGTCCATCTACAAACAGGGAGAATCAGAGGCCTTGGAGTCTTTCCCTTATGGCCAGATTTGCTCTTACGGCATGTCTGACAGCAACACCTTCAAGATCACAGCTGGAGATCGGGATCTCATATTTGAAACCAGCAAGGTAAAGAAGGCTCACACATCCCAGATCTGCAAAATCTCAAGCCATCTTCATGGTAGTGCTTGTTGAGACGAATAGCCTTATCAGGACGCTGTGTCCTGCAGCACAGGAGAAGTGTTGAACACTGTCCTCTCACCATACCCCCCTGATTCCTTTCAGCTATTTGCTATACCTAAAAAGAAAAAAAGTTAATTTAGTCTGAATGGAGAGCACACAACCTGTCACCTCTTTCAAGCCAGTTGCGACCACCACAAGTCAAACTTCCTGGTATTAAATGGCGTGGAGTTGAATTTTATTGCTGTGGTTAAATTAAAATATTAGGCTGAACATTTCTCAGAAATTTAGATGCTCTTCCAGACAGACACTCCCTTCCCCCTGTTGAGAACAAATCTTGCCTTTCACTGGACCGACTTCCTTGCATCTTCCCACAGGGAACAAAAAATCCCTCTGTGATCTCCAGTGAGGCACAAGAGTGGCTTTTATTTATTTATTGGGCTCACAGGCAAATTGAAGTGCAGCCCAGTAAGACTTCTTCTTGTGTGAGCTGAAGTCCTTATAGTGGTCTGACATTAGTAGGAAGGGCTCTGAACCTCTGGGCAGAGAAAGATTTGATTATCAGTGCAGCTTTAGCGACCGAATAAAAGGATTATTGTTATTTTATGAGCAGGTGACTGTTTAACTTAGAGCTGTTCTTTTGAGGGAAGAATTAGAAGAAAAAGTGTCCTGAAGTTTATTCCGGTCAGGTAAACAGAGGGTCAAATATAATTCTATGTTTTCTCTTATGATTCATGAACAATTTAGTACTTTGTAAAAGCACACATACTCCTCAAAGTTATCCACATTTTATCATGTTACAAAGACAAACTTATATGGTGTGGAAATGTGAAATTGTATGTATTTTTTTATTTTGTCAATAAAAAAAAAACAAAATTGTAGCATACATTTTAATTTATCCCCCATAGTTAATAGTTCCTAGAACCACCTAGCCTCTTTATTACTGTTTTCCTACCCTGTTTACTATACTTGCTATTTGTTGTTCTATTACAGACATACTTAAAGAGGTATAACAGAGTTTTCTAATGATGTGCTGATGAATATTCCCAGTCAACTAGTTCATAGTCCTTCCAAAAAAGTAAAAAAAAAAACAATCCACTGGACTTCGTTTCCAAGTTTGAAGACGTTACGCTTCCCATCAAAGAATCTTTTTCAATTAAAAATGTCAGGAATAGCGTTGAGTTTGAGGATTTATATCATAGCCCAACAAAGCCTTGTTTTTGTTAAGAAAACATGCAAACTGAAACGGGTCCACCCCTTTGGAATGGGGGTTGAATGGCTTCTTTTATTAGCTAGCAATACCCCATACCTTTTCTAATGATACTGGCACCTGTGACCAAATTGCAGCACTCTTGTTTCTCGTAGCTCTCACTCATACTTGACAAGATTTCTTTTTCACCTTACCTGGGGTCACCATTGGTGTCAGAGTTGAGATGGATGCCAGTCAGTTCTGAATATTCATAAAAATCCATCTCAAATATAATGCTTTGATTGTTTGATAGCTCCGATCCATTTAACACGGACGCGCTTGATGCCACATCCGCATAACAGTGCTGGAATTCCTGCACCGAAATAAATTCAGGAAAATAGGCTACATGCTTTTAGATGCATCAGTCTTGAACTACTGAGGTGTCAGTCTGCTCTTTAATTTTTAAAAGTTCAAATAAAAATGTTATTGTAAAAATGATTTTCAGTAAAAACTTGCATAAGGTTTACGATTGTAATTTGGCAAAATGCAGAGAAATGAAAGGGTGGTGACTGCTTTTGAAAAGTTCAAACTGACTATATTCACAGAATGTTCCTATAAAGGGGTGTGAACTAGATGTCCTCAATAATTGCCAAATATTTGCATCATCTGCTTCTGGATGACATAATCTTCCTCCACCCTCATGTGACGGTGCCAGACGGATACCGAGACTGCCACAAGTTTGACCCTTCTCTCTCTCTCTGTTTTCACCACAGCTGACTGAGATCATGCAGCTGATGAACGCCTATTTCAGTGCCATACATCGCCAGCGAGGTAAAGGGGAAGACCCAGACACCATCACCTTCAGAGAAAGCACAGACGTGGGTTTCCGTCATATGGCCTCCACACCCACACTCCTGGAGCTGCCGTCTCACCCTGTTTAATAGCAGCTCTTAGCCTACCATCACCATTCTTCTTCCCTGAAGATTCTTGGCCTTCTCAATTGGGAATGAAGCTGCAGCCAATACAAGAGAGCTGTTTCCTCCCCATCTAGGAAAATAAACCTTCCCAGAGTATTGCAGTTAAAGAAACCCATCTTAGAATGACAAGCTTCGGACAGTGCAAGGAAAGGCAAGGGGCCCGAGAGTACACAGAGAACCAGCGCTGTTACTGATGAGGTGTCGTTCACACCCTCAACCCCTCCCCACCCTCCATCTTTGTTACACTAGATGGCAATAAACCCAACTTCACCGCACCCTCAACGAGATGTTTCGTACTACCACCTCAGACATTAAGACTTGCAGCAATCATAAGAACCTATTAAAGCTCCATCTCTGAAGCAAAAACACCTTCTCCCCTAGTTTCTCTCTCCGTCTTTTCCTAGAAGGCAGACGTCCCTTTTGCACTGCTGGAATACTATTTGGAACATTCACTGACACCCTGACTCTCCCTGGCTCCTTCATCGGTTTTCTTAAGATCCCAACTGAGCTTCAATTACCTGAAGTGTTGATACAGGCGAGGCCATGTGAACTTAGAACTGGAAGCAGATGTTGGAGCTCTGTGGCTAATTTTACTTTGGCTGCCATGACTGCCTGCCAGGGTGTCAGTCTGATCACTAAAGCCATTTCATTGATGATGCATTCAGGATCCACGGCTGTGTGCGTAAAAAAAAAATCAACGGATTTTCAAGTATTTAAGCACGTTGCCACCATATGTTCTGACTCCTCTCTCCTTGTGGTGCTGCTTTTCTCGACTGTGGTTCTGGACCTTTAACTCGGAGAAGACTTAACACCTGACCCGATACAGCACTGTTCTGCTGAAGAGAACGGGTGCTACTTTATTTAATGGAAGGAACGCCACAAAGCTACGTCATAGACAGCATTCTGTGCCCCACAGGTCGCCAGCCTTCGAGAAAAAAAAAGTTCTAATTCAGAAGCTTTTGTATTATTTATGCAGACTTTCAAAAACAAAAACTGTCCGTCTTAAATGTAGACCCAGACTTATCTTTAAGTTTGCTCTCAGTGACCAGGGCCATAGGTTTGTTTGGTTCTGCTGTTAATTTTCTCCACCTCCTTTTCCCTTTTTTTCTTATTTTAATTTTCCTTGAAAAGCTAAACTTGGACCAAAGACTAACTTTTATTATCTTTTAGAGAAAAAGCCAACAAACAGAAACCGAATTTAATCATACTTGGACATCCTCATGCCTTCCAAGATGAATATTCAAGAGTCAATTGTATATTTTTTTGTAAGGATAATCCTAAAGTGATATCTGCTACACACTAGAAAATAACCATTTTGAACACTTTCTTTCTATGCCATGAAAAGCCTTGACAAGTCATTGCCCTGTTTCTGATGCAGAAGCAGGTCTTTAGCTTTTTCCACTGCAGCTGCAGGCAGCTCCATGCAAGGTTTATGTAAAGAAAAAAAAGGCAAATGTCATTGTTTAGTATTAAGCTAGACTGTAAGCTGCATGGTACCTTTTTATGTAATGTGTATATTTAATTGCACTATTTTTAACTAACTTGGGAGTGCAATAAAAACTATAAATACTGTAATTAATAAAACAAATACCCATTTTACTGTATTGTCAGTGTTCCTTAAGCTCTTAATTCCTCATTTCTCTGCAGCCAGGTATGTTTTAATGATTAATTTGAATGAAAAGTGATGTCTGCAACCAGTAATCATCTTAAAAAAGCAGGTTGAGTCTTGGTTTAGAACTCTACAGATACAGATTTAAAAAAAAAAAATGATCCAAGCAGGTTATCTTCATAAAGCAGATAGGTTAGGACAGTATTTTTCAACCCTGGTCCTCAAGGCACACTGCCCTGCATGTTTTAGATGTTTCCCAGCTTTCACACACCTGTTATCAATTGATAGATTATCAGGCTTTGCTGAACTGCAATCATCTGAATCAGGTGTGCTGAAGTTCAGAAACATCCAAAAGATGCAGAGCAGTGTGCCTTGAGGACCAGGGTTGAAAAACACTGGGTTATGGTATCAGGCCAGGACAATCCAACGTGTTGGATTTCCTACTTTCCACCAAGCCATCTAAACACAGAGCACACGATATGATTTATCTCCAGAAGACCAGCCAAGATCAGCCCCTCTAGGTACGCTTTATTTCATTCCTGCTTAAACAAGAATTGGCCCTTACAGGTAATGAGCCTGAAAAGTATAGTGGAAGATTTTCACGAATTTTTGAAAAGACCAACTTAAAAAAAGAAAAAAAAATGCACATGCACAACCCTGTACCTGCTCCTGAGAGCACGTAACAGCTCATTTCTCCTTGTGCACGCTGTTTAAAAGTTGCTATTTGCATCACTCATACAAGCTTATTTTCTGAAAGATTTGCAATTTTTCTACCATGTCAGACTCACCCCCGGTGACTGAACATGAGTACATGCTTACGTAAACATAACAGGATGATTAACAATTAGGTGGACCACTTATTTTGATGATCCACCTGGAAAAAGAACATCAATTGTTCCTCGAACTGATTACATGGTGCTCCAGGTGAGATATTGCATCATATCGTAGATGACAACAGGAAATGTATGTTTCCACCCAAATAAGGATGAAGTAAAGAAGTGCAGTAATAGAAAACATTTTTATTCATCTTACAGGTCCATCAAACAGTAATAAGGAACAATACACCTCAGACTCTACAGAGAACCAGTTAGTCTTTAAAACAGAGGTACCTTTGGTACCTTTAAGTCAGAAATGTGAGGTTTGGCAAAACCTACATTAAATATCTTCCTTTGAAATCTGTGGGTAGTGGGCAAGAATGAAAATTCAACAAAAACTACTGAACTCTGTAGAAAAATAGATAAAAAGGCAACAGGTTGTTTAACATTGAAGGACTGGAAGCAAAAGAAATGAACATTAACTGATGCCGTCAGTGATTACTTGCAATAACTCTGGAAACTATTTGTTACAGGAACATGTAGATCACCAAGGATTCTGATTCTCCAGAACAGAATGCCAGTCCAGGAAACACTTTGGTTAATGAGTTGGTATAAACATTGATCACCACCTCTTAAACTATCATTACATGCTAATAAATAAATGTCAGAACAGCAGCTATGGCCAGTCACAGACCACGGTCACTGATCTTGTGTGCCCCAGGAGATGTAGTCAGGCCGTGTTGCCGCGGTGTACTCGTCCACAAGCTGCTGCACAACCTCACGGGAGTTGTCCAGCTCGTCAAAGTTTTCCTTGAAGATGTCCTCTTTTCGAAACTGTTCCAGGAATGCCTCACGCTTTCTTAGTTTGTCATACTGTCTGCACGTGCGCTCAAAGAGCTAAAACAGAGGACAAAACTAGGATTAGAACAGGGAAAGATTCACATTCCTTATCAGACTTTTTACTTTTGACTGTTTTTTATTCTTTTCTTTACAGAAAATAACTCACTAATGAGAACATAATAGTTCCAGCTTGTAATGAAGCTAAAGGTGATGGCTTCAGTGTTTTTTTAAGATTTTAAACTGCTTCAAACTTTGGTTTGTTTTGTTGTTTGTTTTGTTGTTGAATTTTTACAGCACTAGTGGCTGGTTTTTTGACAGTGGACTGACAGGAAAGGGGGTATGAGATAGGGGGAGAAACATGCGGCAAAGGACCACAGGTCAGATTCGAACCCGGGTCGGCTGCATAGAGGACTAAGGTCTCCACTGCGCCACTAAAGCATGACAGAAACTTAAGTGTTTTTTTTTTAACACAGTTCCTATCAGACTGGATGAGAGGAAGAAGATTTTGAAGAAAACTTACAGAAGAGATGCTTGTGTGGTTGGCCATCATCAAGCCGCTCACTCTGTGAGCCGAGGCCAGGTACGGGGACCTCCTGGATAAAGCCACCTGGATGCTGGCTGGACCCCAGGGAATAAAATTGGCCAGTTTTCGCTCCCGGATCCTTTGAAGGCTTTTATGGACCTATAGCGCACATGTTTATCGTTTAAATATGACCATTCATCATTTCAGATAGAATTTAACTTTGCACACACACACAGTATGCCATCATACCTGTGTGGGGTCAACTTCCCCCTGGATGATGTTCAGGATAGCAATGTAGCAGTGATTGGGCTGTCTCTCTCTTCCCGTGGATACCATCACATTCTTGGGTTGCAATAACCTCCTCATCACATCCAGCACTGTGGTTTTCCTCACGCTGGCAACCTGAGACGTGGCATCATCAGTGACTGCAACCCTAACATCACATTTGCATCTCATGTTGCATATTTCAGCCAGTAAGGATCAGTAATAACTCACCGACTGGTCGGTGGTCAGGGGCGTATAACCAGTCATGAGGAAATGGAGACGAGGAGTGGGAATTAGTGAGGCAATCAGGCCGATCAGGTCGTTGTTCATGTAGCCCGGGTAACGTAGCGTAGTTGTGCTGGCAGACATGATTGTTGAAACCTGTATGGAAAATTAGAAGCTGATAAATGAAGATCTAGATTGGCTTTAAGGATCTCAAACTTGTTGCATCTTGTCACAGTTCGCAGAAAGGTGACATATCATGGACAGGATTTAAAAGGAATCCCAAAACAATCTGGCATTATATTAATATATATCTCTGTACAGTATAGGTAATCCATAAAATGTGTGAAAAGGGGTAGTCAGAAAGCTAGACCAGAGGCAGCAGCATTTATTGCAGCTATTGTTCTAAATCTTTACTTTCAGAAAGTTTGGAATAAACAGGAGTGCAAGACAAAAGGGCCTTTTCTTTCAAAGAAAACATTACACACATCTAAAACATCCCAAAAGCTTGAGGTAATATGTTGTTCGAAGCAACCTCGAGAAACCTTAGGGTCTGCTTCCATTGAGAAACACCCCAAAAGGACACCATGCCCACAGTGAAACCTTTTCTTTTGTCAAAGCAAATCACATTATCAACAGTTTCAGAGACAGTAAATAGGTGTTAAAGGAAGTGACAAGCTCTTAAAAGCAGCTATCAAGTTTATGCTCCAACCAACCTGTTAAACCAGTTTGTGATATTTTAGTTGATGCCCAGTGGCTCTTCCGTTTCAAAATAATGTGCGATGTTCAAATACACCCTTGGAGATAAATAGATGAGCATGAAATATAAACCGACATCTTACTCACCAGCTGATTAATCTGGGAGAAGGAGGGGTTCTGGATGTGCAGCCTGTCTGTAGCAATGCGGTTCAGAGCGGTGTTATCCAGCACAACCTGATGGACAACACAGATGGCAATTATAGGACAAACCGAAAAGAACAAGTTAAAGCACTTCTCAATCTATTGCCACACTGTTAGGAGTGAGAAAGTATTGCAGCACTGACGCAGCCAAGGAATCGCTTAAGAGGCTGACAGTGAGCCGTTGTTAGGAAAGTGGAACATACATGATACGCTGCTCAACTGCAACAGGGAGACCGATTATAATGGTAGATTATATTAGCTCTCAGGCTAATTAAAACAACATTAGGTCCTTATGCAAGACCCTGGAGGAAGTAGGTATTTAAGAGGAAATGCCATTAGATCGCCAGTGCGTCTGTGTCTAATACTATTAGATATTTAGAAATCAAATTTAATAAGTTGCATTTGCAAGGCCTGAATGCTGCCAATGCAATCTGTATATTGGTTTGCAAGCAATGGAGAAGTTTCTGTTTGTCTTCCATAAAGGAACTGTGAAGATTAAAAACGGAGACAGCTGCAGGGCTGGGAGAAAAATAGAAGAATGTTGGGTTTCTTCAGAAGTCAAGCTGGCCACTAATTAAGAGTGGGATGTAAAAGCTTACTGATGGCGGGTGGGCGAGCTGATCAACATCATGAACAATGTTGATTTTGTAGGGGTTTCTTTTTATTTAATCGTTTCTAAATAACTAATGCTTTGCAAAAGAGCATTCTCTAAACAAATGATGGATTAAACATGTACAGATCATTATAAATGGAGCAAAAGCACCACATTTAAGCCCTCTACCAGACCTTTTATACGCAGCAAAGCAACAGTGTAATAATAATAATAACAACTTTTCAGGAAAGAAATGCCTTGTGTGCACATTTTCTCATGAGTGTAAAGATCATAATCGACAGAGCTCTGCTCACCACGCAGTCTGCATTCTGGGTGAGCCTCTTCAGAGTGAGCAGCGAGTTGTACGGCTGAACAACCACGTCACTCATCTCATCCTGGTTTGGGAAAACAGAGTAGGTCTGTACCAGCTTCTTTGGGTACCTGCGGAGCAGGAAATATTTTATTTACACACACCAGATCCTAATCCAAATCTAAAGTAAGTAGCTGGAAGTTAGCTGTAAGAGGGTTTGTGGACCTGTCGTTGAGTCTCTCCAGCAGGTACGAACCCAGTCCTGACCCAGTTCCCCCGGCAATGGAATGACAGAGGACAAATCCCTGCAAGGACAAAGGGTTACTCACTACCAACCCCCCTCAGGCAGCAGCATGTTTGTAAAACTTACAGTAGACTCCAGTGGTGCAGAACAGAAAAGTGTGTGGGTGAGCAAACGCCTCGCTTCCTAAGCAGTTATATAAATGGTAGCAGGGCCCCACCTCGCAAATGGGCTTCCTCCTTTGCCCCCCCACAGAAGTCAAGCCTGTAATACCTGCCTTCAACATTCACCCCAACTATTATCACCAAACACACTGCACACCACACCCTGCTAACACACACATGCCAACAGCAGCTCGGCCCACCTTCCTACCCAGAGCGCACGCTAAATAATAACGTGGGCTCATAATGTGAAGGACTTACACAAATTGCAGACCTCTGAGGGGAAATGTGAGTGTTATTTTATGAGAAGCTGGAGGCTGTATTGCGTTCACCGAAAAAAAAATAAATAAAGAGGCTAAGAATAACGGAGATGGCAGGGAATTTGCTGGTTTTCACAGGAAGGGCTCTGGCACTATTTTAGCATTTTGTTTCGATTAGAGTCATTTTTGTTTCTGCGTGCGTATCACCACGACTGAGACACAGCACCCTGTCCGAGTAGACCACGTCCCTATTCACTGCAGTAATGGAAAAGTGACTTGGGGCAGAGCAAAAGCTAAACATTTCAATGGTGTAGACAGCAGGTTAGAAAAAAAAATTATAAGAAAAATCAGCCGCTTTGCTACAAAAAAAAAAAATTGTCAAAAGCTACAAAACCACGAGAAAAACAAGACTTAAAGCAGATACAAAAAAATAAACCAGAAAACTTACTTTGACAAAAGGATTACTTTGTACTTTAAGACAAATTCTCAAAGGTTTTTTTTAATAATCTGCTCTCAAATGTTGTGTGCCATTACCACAAAAAAAAATGTTTTCTTCTAAAAATCAGTGTTAAAATGTCCATATTAACCTAAAAGTCACAAAGTTAAACGTGTCAGACTTGCCTCCAGACTGTCGCTACCATCTGCCTCTCGGTCAATGATATCAAAGATCTCTTCTTGGATTTTTTTGCCCTGGAAGAAGAAGGAAAAAACAAAAACAAATGTGAAAATGTAGTTAATTTAAACTAGACTGATAAAAATTTTATAAAATTAATAAACTGATTAAAATATTGATCATTTCTCAAAACCAACTTGTGAATATCCGCTGGCCCAGTTGTTCCCAGCACCCCCTCCGTGCTCAGACAGGTAGATGTTCTCTGGATTGTACAGGTTTGCGTACGGGGAGCTGAGGATGGAATGGATCACGCGGGGTTCAAGGTCCAGCAGAACGGCACGAGGGATGTAGTGCTCATCATCAGCCTGAGGAGTTAGATTAACAACCAGGGATTAGAAGCTGATGAAGCAGTCAGTGTCCCTGCAGTATATGTTAGTTTATGACATCACATATGACTGTTATGCCATCTAGTGGCAAGTAGTGGTGGTGTACCTAAAATCACAAGGATAACGAGGACGCATTTATCCTTTTTGGAAGGAAAATTCATCAATAAAAAATGATCAGGATACAGTAAAGCAACCTGATTAAAATAAAAAAATTGAAAAATCGATGAGGACAAGTTTCTCATCCTTACCTACAATAATTACAAATCTGTTTAAAGGACTATCATGAATGGGAAGTAGGGTTAGAATATTCAGAGAAAATTAGATGATGATCTGCATTGTGGAGATGCAGGTTTTAACGCAAACATGATGAGGGAAATTGCTGAAAGTTCATAAAATTTTGGCACCAGCTCCCTGAAATTAAGGAAGGAGGAAATAACTTAAAAATTGGGCCTCACCAGTCAGGGTTTGGGTTAAATAATTGTATACCTCATCCCAGTTACAAGGGATGTTGCTCTTTCCTTGGGGACTGAAGGTAAGTAACTAAAATTAGCCTCTTTATCAGCAATTAAATGTGTAAAAAAAAAACACTGATACAGTGAAATATTCATATTCCAGAATCCACAATAGAATTTAAAATCCTCCTTCTCACATATAAAGCCTTAAATGGCCAAACTCCATCTTATATAAGAGATATTATTGTTCCTTATGTTCCTAACAGAGCACTTCGCTCTCAATCTGCAGGTTTACTAGTGGTTCCTAGAATTTCTAAAGGTAGAATGGGAGGCAGATCTTTTATTCATCAGGCTCCTCTCCTGTGGAACCAACTACCAATTTTAGTCCGTGAGGCAGACACCCTGTCTACTTTTAAAGCTAGGCTTAAAACTTTCCTTTTTGATAAAGCTTATAGTTAGAGTGGCTCAGGTTATCCTGAGCTATCTCTATAGTTATGCTGCTATAGGTTTAGACTGCTGGAAGACATAGGGACCCCCATTTTATCATTCTATCTCTATTCTCCCACTCTGCAGAATCTGTTAGTTCAATCTCTAACGTTCTGCTCTCTCTGCTTTTTCTCATAGTAGCTTCAACTGGTCTGTTCCTGTTTGGCTGTGACTCCATCCTGGAAAGAAACATCAGCTGTGCTGCTGCCATCAACACCCTTGTTTATAGATGTTGGAGATCGGTCTGTTTTTCAGTGTACCGTAGTCCTGTTTCTCTGACTGGAACTGGCTGGATTTGCTCTCTTCATCCTCTAACATGGGAGCTGGCGCGGAGCTCGTCTGCCTGGCTGTGTGTTTCCTGGACCGGGCCTCCTTTTACAGCTTCTTTTCATATCTCTGCTTCTGTCTCCTTGAACCCCAGTCGGCCTCAGCAGATGGCCGCTCACACTGAGCCTGGTTCTGCTGGAGGTTTCTTCCTGTTAAAAGGGAGTTTTTCCTCTCCACTGTCGCTACAAGCATGCTGAGTGTGAGGGATTGTATTTGAGTCAATGAATCGATGCAATCAACTGGTTTTCCTTAGATAGAAAACTTTGTATCAATTTGACTGGATGATCTGGTAAACTGTAAAGTGCGTTGAGATGACGTGTTGTGAATTGGCGCTATATAAATAAACTGAATTGAAATTGTATATTTCTAAAAAAAAAAAAAAAAAAAAAAGAGTAAAACAGAGGACTTTAACTAACAGTGTACAGGCTTTTATGTAGCAATGAGTATGGCCGTACTATAGTACGTCCTTTACTAAAAACATTAGAAATTGTACGCCCTATTTTGGGAATGTATGGCTTTGTTACGCCTTAATTTTCCTCCGGAATATGGTGGAATATCTAACATCCCTACAGAAAACTTCATCAGCGGAAACAAGCACGCAGCGCTGTTTGCAAACAGGTAAGCTTCAAACTTTGAAAATTTTCTGAAAACTCCCCAAAGGCCTGAAAACTATGGCATTTATTTTTTCTTTGGGACAATAAAGCTGTGGAATCGAGGAAAAACAACAGCTAACATAAATTACATCAGGGGAGGTGGGAGTGATTGGTACTAAATCTGTAGCAAATATCAAACAGATGCGATTTCTTCATGATTCTTCGAGATAATTGGAGTCTTTATTTCCAAAAGATCGATAAATGGATGCTGTTTGTTGATAAGAGTGTGCTTATTTTGGTATAAATGCCTTTCGGAGCAACACACCCACTTGTGTAACACATCAGCTTACATTTACAAAATATAGTCAAATACATGAAAATGTGAGAATAAAGTTTCAGAATTAGTTTCAGTGTCAGCTGTATTCCTAACAGAGTAGATCTAGAGAAGTAAAAGCAGCCCAGGCTCACTGCAGATTGTATTTTAGTATTTGTAGACTGTTTTTCAGTTTGTCAAGTTTCACCTGTAGCAGCAAGTTTAAGTTACACTTTCTGATTGTTTCAAATTTCCTATGAACCATTATATTGTATCTAAAAAGGGTAAATATACATTTAATCATCTAAATAATTTAAACATACGAACAACCAGAATGTTTAATTCTTTATCTGTTATCTGTTAACTTAATTTCCATTTAAGCATAAATGCAAGCCGAGGTTTGGAGTCAGGAATCATTTTTGCCACCTCCATAATGCAGATCTCTATTCTAGCCAAGCTAAAGTGTAGCAGTGCAACAAAGGAAAGTCCAGAATCACTTTAGCAACAAAAACCCAACTTCTGTTCCTTATGATATCAGTGATTCATACCAACATTCCTTTGGGATGAAGATTTTAAAGTTTACTGGGTCATTTTCTATCTACAATCTTCTCCTATTCAGTCGTTTTCCACAGAATTATTTCTTTTATCAGGATTATTGAATGCTTTAGTACTGAAGCAATCCCTAACTTACGTACATGGCCTCATAAATTGCGGAGATACTTTATCATGCACGGTTTATTTGAAAATGAAGGGGAAGTGGCGGCCTAGTGGTTAGAACATAGAGATTGGAATCCCGAGGTTGTGAGTTTCAAACCCACTCCCACTCTGGCTCTCTGAGCAAGAACCTTAACCCTCAATTGTTCCCAAAGGCGTCCCACCGTGGCAGCCCGCTGCTACCCAAGGAGATGGGTTAAATGCAGAGGTACATTTGTCCAACGTCAGATCAATGAAAGTTCATTTATTATTATTAAAATACCTGCAAACTATAAAGATTTCAAAATGAGCTCCCACCACCATGCTGGAAGGGTATTAGTGGGTATACTGATTTGTTATGATTGCTTTGTGGTTTGTAATAACAACACTTAGTTTTGTTTTTAGGTATTCTAGCAAAATGTATTGTATCTTGTGCAATAAACTTGTCAACAAAATACACACACAATCACAAAACGTATGATCTCATATCTTCAGCCCAGATGCATATTGGAAAGTGCAGATTTTTTTTTAACAGCTGTAAATCACAGGCGAGTTTTAAGCTTTAAACCTAGTGACCAAAAATAAATGAGCTCCATGCTACTCTACTTCATTGAAAAGCATAAGGCTGGGTTGTTTCTTGTGAACAACTGCTAAAATGAATAAAACTGAATTTTCAGATAAAGAATCGTTCATGTTTATACCTCTATATATCTATATTTTTCTGTTTACTTCAGCTGATGATGCATTTACCTGATAAAAGAACACATCCTTCCTGTCCGTCCCTTCAGTTGCAAACTCCTCTACGATCCCCTCTGGACTGATGCCATGCTCAGCACACAGCTGCTTCCAGAATTCAAAGCCGACTGCAGAAAGAAAAGACAGACGACACGCGATTTACATTAACAGATGTGTTAAATAAACCAAAAAAACACTAGCATAATATAACTTGCTATCTACTTAGCAGTAGCGGCTAACTCATCACATTGGCCCGTTAGCCATTAAGCTAAGACAAAAGAGCAGGTAAATAAAGAAAATACGTTATAGCTGAATTAGCTATCTGTATAACTAGCTTCAATTTAGCACACAATCTAATAGATCAAGCAGAGTATAATGTAGAGAATGTTCTTCTGCCATACAGTCTGCGTTTATCCAGCAAGTTAGCCATTCCCTTCCGTAACATACTTTGGTTTCCGCACTGTCCAAGCTGAAGAGTTATAATTTCCCGCGGCATGTTCAGTCTTCAGTTGCTCCTTGTACAGCTAGCAGAAGGGCTAGCGATTTCTTTTCAATGTCGGCAGCTGTAATTGTCTCTGTTTTCGACAGATCACCATCAACTGCCCGCTCGTTCCCGCTTGGCGCTGGGTTGGGTCGTTTTCCACTCGCCGGTCAAGGAGGCGTGACCTCAATATAAGTATAGACAAGTGAGATTAAACGATTAATTTGAATCATTGTTGCTCATATTAAAATATGAACCAGAGATAAATAATTTTAAAAATTCTGATGGTAAACGGATAGTAAAGAGTAAAACCCAGATGTTTTTTGTTGTTGTTGTTTGTTTTTTAGCCGCCCGCCTACCTTTTGGTGCGCCGACTTAGCAATGGTGCGGACTATTCGAGCTGACAAGACGAGTTTACTTGGGTGTTCCAGTATTTTGCACTGGACGATATATTGCCTAAAAAATATCCAAAATATGCCTTTAGTGTTATAACATATTTATTAAAAGCTAAACTGGTAGCTTGTTTATCACGACAAAATGTGGGGAACCTATCCTCCCAACTTCTTAGGATTTTAGTTGCACTGTGTTTTAATTTGAAGGCGCTTTACGGAAGCAGTACTGGATTTTTTTTCTTGACCCTCATGTATTCTTCACTATTATTTTTATTTTATTTATTTATACAGAAAATCATACTTTGAACATATTTGATCATTCTCTGAAATTAAATAAATAAACATTAAAATATTATTATTCTATATAAGTGTGAGACCTGGATCACGTGTGACGTTTCAACTGATATTAGGTTCTCACAGACATTCTGGGAAATGTAGCCCTATTTTTGTTAAATTCTACAAAAACGCATATAGGTCAGTATTTATGTCTATTGTGATTTGGTGTAAACAATAAGCTTTTTCAATTTGTAGGAAAACACATTTTTACTCTAGTCTATAACTTGTGTATTTTATCTAAACCGTATTGTCTAATGGTGTTGGCCGGATCTGACAACTTATTTTGAAGAGTCTTAGCTAGATAAGATAATCCTACTTTACCTGAACGCAACATGACGCAATTGTTTCTCTGGATTCTGATTGGCGAGCTGTGCAGTTGGAAAAACAGGACACGCCATATTGACAATTTTTGAAGAGAGTGCTACATTTCTGGGTAGAAATGGCTAAATAGTAAGTGTCAGCTTCTTATGAAAAATGCGAAATTAGTCTTTTCATATATGGTCGTTTTTCATATAGAAAGGGGTCTAATTATATACCGTGAATACGATTTTTCGGCTGGTCTATCTCGCGGTGTTAGCCTCATCCGTTAGCGTCAGTGCTGTGAACGGATCGAGGCGCTGTCGTGCCTCATAAAGCGGTTTACCTCGTTCCAGTTCCCTTTATTCAATCTTTATTTTACAGGCTTTGTTTTATCAACGGGAGACTCTGAGATGTTGCACACGGGGGCAATGGGTGAGGCCTCCATGGAAGGTTGTTCCTACACCGATGGGTCTAGTATCTGCCTGCGGAGTCGTCCGAGCTCCAGTGAGAGAGACAGCCAGGTGCGGGCTGTCAGAGTGGCTCTTCTGTCCAAGCTGGGGCCCTACGAACCCGTCCTGACCTACCTACAGTCTGTTCTGGTGTGGGAACGACCTTTCCACAGTGTCCTTCTCTACATTGTTGTCAACATTGTATTCTGGTAAGTTTTCATCTCAATTATTAGTGTAGTTTTAGGTTAAGACCTATTTCCAGACATGCCTGCAAACAGGTGGTGCAAGTATTTCACCTGTCATTTTAAGTAAAAGGCAGAGCGGCTGTTCTATTTATGGACACACCAACGTGGTTAAATGTAGGATTATCTTCTTAACATTTTTTTCCTCATAGGTATCACAAGATGAAGTTAATTCCCAGTCTGAGTTTCACTTATTAAATCCAGAGACTTATGAGTTTGTAACTTCACTGTGATGAAATGCATTGAAGACTAGTATGTATTTAGAGTATGCAATAAACTTCCAAAGTGTGTTATTAGTAAAAAACAAAACATAAATCCATTATAAGTAGATGTGATTTATTGAAGGTTTTTTATTTGCTTTGGAGGGTTGATACTTGAATTGCAAATCCCACTGATATGGGACATGCAAAGAAAGCATGACTGGCCACAGTAGTGTTGGAGTACAGCCTTTCAGAGCTGAATAGATTTGGTCATTCCATTTTTCAAGGCGTTTCTGTTTTATTTTTGATTGAACACAAACTACAATGGAAAGGCAGCTTTAGTTTTGAGTGTAATATCAATAAGTCATACTTATTGCAAGATTCTTGATTTGTTTTTCATATGTAAATATCTGCAGCCAGAAAGTTCTTTCAATTAATCTTTAGGCTGAAACAACTAATCGGATTAAATGATTATTTAAATAATCATCAACTAATTTAGTAATCAGTTAATTGTTAAATGGAGAAAAAACATGCCTTTAACTGACAGAGGAACCCACTTAGAGCAATTATCGCCCAATCTCTAGATTGTCTGTGCTGGCCAAACTGTTTGAATCTCTTATAAACGAGCAACTCAAACTTTTTTTAACTGAGAACTCAATTTTAAACCCATTGCAGTCTGGCTTTCGACAAGGTCATAGTACAGTCACAGCTGTTACCACAGTCACAAATGACATTTTGAATGCTTTAGATAATAAGAAGTCTTGTGCTGCAATATTCATTGATCTTTCTAAAGCGTTTGATACAGTGGACCATGATCTTCTTTTGAAGCGATTACAAAGAATAGGCTTTAGTGATACTGTACTACGGTGGTTTTCAAATTACCTTAATGATAGAACGCAGTGTATTGTAATTGATAACTATACCTCAACATCATTAGAAGTTACAATGGGGGTCCCACAAGGGTCAGTTTTGGGTCCAATTTTATTTTCTCTTTATATAAATGACTTGGGTAAGGACCTAAAGACAGCAAAAGTGCATCTTTATGCAGATGACACTATTTTGTACACCACAGCTTCATCAGTGAATGCTGCATTTGCACAATTGCAGTCTGCTTTTAATCATGTACAAACATTTCTTATTGAATTAAAGTTGGTACTGAACGCTAAAAAAACTAAAACAATGACATTCACACATTCACGATCCTCACCTAACATTAGTGTTTCAACACAAGATGGCACTAAAATAGAAGGAGTATCATCTTACAAGTATTTAGGCATCTGGTTGGATGATAAGATGTCCTTTGGTGTCCATATTGAGAGCCTCTGTAAGAAACTTAGACCAAAGTTGGGTTTTTTCTTTAGAATGAGGAAGTGCTTTCCCTATCTTGTGAGGAAAAGGCTAGTTCAGAGCACATTCCTGTCAGTGCTTGACTATGGGGATACACTGTATATTCACTCCAGTTTATTCTTACTTAAAAAACTGGATGTACTGTATCACTCTGCCTTACGTTTTATCACAGGTGCATCAGCTAGGACTCACCACTGCACTCTCTATGAAACTGTACAGTGGTCTTCTCTTTACATGAGGAGAAAAATTCATGTACTGACTTTTATTGCCAAAGCCCTTATGGGTAAACTACCTTTATACATTTGTAATTTACTTTCCATTCGAGATAGTACTTACAGGACTAGGTCATCAGAAAAAATACTTTTACATACTCCATTTACAAGAACTGAACTAGGAAAAACAGCATTTTCATCATTTGCACCTAAAGCATGGAATGAACTTCAAGCCACTTTAAATCTTGAAGTACTTCCATCCATAAATTCTTTTAAAGACCTGTTAAAATCATCATTCACTGACAGATGCAACTGTTTTTGATTGGATGCCTTGTTTTCTATTTGCTTTTTGGTTGTATGTGTATGCCCAATCTTGTTGTGTTGTGTTTAATTTTGCCTAGATGATATGTATCTGTGGTTGTCTTGTCTCCTGTGGTTTTATGTTGATGTAACTTTTTAAGCCGCCTTCTTGGCCAGGACTCCCTGGAAGAAGAGTTACTTTAACTCAATGGGACTTTCCTGGTTAAATAAAGGTTAAATAAAATAAAAATAAAATAGTTGTATCAAATTGTAAAAATATATAAGAAACGTTTTGCATTAATTATAAAAAAAAAAAAAAAACATTTTCGTCTGCCAATATGCGCTATCAAGAACTCAAGTGGCAACATTTTAGTTTTTACCCTGGTTTAATTTCTTAAAAAATCTTCTTCAAGGATTTAATCGATTAATAAAATGACAGGTTGTGCTGATAGATTAATTAGCTGATGCAACAAAAGACAAAACAAAAATGTCAATGACAGCATTTAGTTTTTAATGTCCCCAAAAGTTCAGAAAAGTTTAATTTTTGAATATTGATATGATTTTTTTTTTTATGAAAAAAAAAAGGCAAAAAACTTGTCAACAAACCCCAATGTAGAAATGAATAGCTCACTGGGGAAATTCTACCGAAATTCTAATCCAACTTCACCTGCGAATGTCGATTTTTTTTAAATCGGTTTGCAAAGTAATCGTTAGTTGCAGCCCTACTTACTGTAAGGCTGACCAAAACCTGCAGCACTCTTTGGTGTAACAGTTAACGACTTTTATGATCTTTACTCAAAGCAGCACTATGAAGCTTAAAACAATCCCTGAGATGTGTAAATTAAATTGTGTTATAATTGCGCTGTAGATGCAAATTGCAAAATTGCTGTTGATTTATTTATTTATTTATTTATTTTTCCCTTGTAGGCAAAAAAGTTATATCATTCTTTTTTTTTATTATGGAACTAAAAACAATACACAGTAAAAACAGAATTAATAGATGGTAACACGGAAGAAAAAGGTCCCACTTTCCCTCCCACTAATGACAGCCGCCTCCAAACCCATCCGCAGGTGACAAAGACATACTCAGTTACAACTTCAAATGGTAACTGAGTATTATGAAGTATTGAGAGTAAACTTTATATAACATTGAATTAAATAGTGTACTAAAAACATTTATAAGGTTTTATCACATCCATGCAAAGAGCCTTTAAGCACTTATATATTTTTTTCTATAATTCTAGTGGAAACCATACATCTTGAATCCAAATGTGTAACAAACTGGGCTCAGAGTAACAAAACAAAACAACAACATCACATTACATTTGTCTGATATCTGTAAATGATTATAGATGCCAAACATAAAAAAGGGTTTCTCTGTT